AGGTAAATCGGCTTCATCTGTATTTCCAAATTATTGTTTAATTGTAGATAGTATATTAATGTTTTGATATGTACTTATAGGATTGATTAGCCAGAGCATGTAGATATGTGGGATGTGACTTGTTAAGTGCCAAATCAAAATCACAATTTATGTTTGATACTTATTTCGAGACTTTTTTTTGGTTTGTATGCAACAAACGATCTTGGTTGGAGGGTAACACGATTGATAATTGCAGGCAAACATAACTTTATATACGAGGTATGACAATAAAATTATAAGACTGTTGTAAAAAATCTACTTTATTTAAAAAATAATACAACTTAATGGTGCTCCCCTTCAATGAACTCCCCTTCCCTATCGACACAGCGTTGCATACGTTTTTTCCACAGTTGGAAGCAATTTTGAAAATCATCGGAAGAGAGGCTGTTGAGAAGTCTTGCCGGTTTTTCCTTGACCTCTTCTAATGTGTCAAAACGGGTTCCTCTTAACGATTCCTTTACTTTCGAAAACAAGAAGTTGCAAGGGGCCAAGTCTGGTGAATATGGTTGGTGGTTAAGGACAGGGATCTTCTTATCAGCTAAAAACTGCTTAATGGAAATGGCTTTGTGGGCCGGTGCATTGTCCACGCGTTGTTCTTCCATACATCTGAACGTTTTTTCCGTACACGTTCCCTTAGTTTCTTCAATACTTCCAAATAATAATGTTCGTTGACTGTTTGTCCCTTTTGTAACATTTTCGTCTGTTTTGGATGTGCTGGGGCGCCCTTCTCGTTCATCATCTTTAACTTCTTCCTGACCCTCAGAAAACCTTTTATGCCACATAAAAATCATTGCACGAGACATAACGCTCCTCTCCGTAGACCTCTTTTAGCATTCGAAAGCATTCAGTGACCGTTTTTTTTTGAGTTTTACCAAAAACTTTAAGTTAATACGTTGCTCGATTTTTTCGTTTGTCATAATTCCGGCAAGTGTGCTAAGCACGATCCGCCCCCAACCACTGCTGAAGCCAAACTACAAGAGGCAAGGCGACAAGATTGCGCGTGGTAGTACAGCACATATCAAGGTCAATGACCCATCACCGCATGAGGCTGGGAGATTTCAAACCTGCTATTACGGGGGCCAGTCTTAAAATTTAATTGTCATACCTCGTAGGTAAACTATTTAAATGTACATACCATTTCTTAGGTAAAATTTCTCATCGAGTATATTAAATTAACTCGTTAATCCATTTTCCGATTGACTTTTAAAGTGAAAAATTATTTGTCTCTTTATCTTTATCAAATTTTTATTGTACATTTCCATAATGATGTCTAGTGACCCATCAGATTAATTCAATTTTTCCTTTTAGCAGGTTTTGTGAGAAAAAAATTTACAAATTTTTTTGCTTACTTCTTTCTTCAAAGTATTTACAATTGAATACAAAATAGACCATTTTGAAGTAGTCTTTGGATGGTCTTAAACACTAAAACAAAATATAATACAAATTAAAGTCGTAAAAATTTATTATATGTAAATAAATCAACATAACCTTGAAAATTTTAATTTACCTTGCCTTTCGGGAACAATCGTTGAATTGGCACACATCTTTCAATTTATTGAAGACACAGTTCTTAATTAAACACATTTTTTTAAATAAGCACAATTAATATAATCTTACGTTTTTTTTTTTTGTATTTAATAGTAGAGGAGTGACACTAATGACAGTGACAATTTGTTTGATTTGATACAGTGTTGCCAGAATATGTTTTTGTTATGTACCAGATTTGTCTAAAAAATGTACCAGATTCCTTAAATGTATCAGATTTTTCGAATTCTATTTGCAATGACATCTAATTCATTGAAAGGGAAAAAAGCGGGTCTTTATTGATAATGAACCCAAACAATATATATATACTTAGGTATTCTGTGCCACAGAGACGCGATCAGCCAGAGGACAATGATATACCAAAAAAATACAGATTAACATGTATGAAAATAAAAATATTAAAATTAAATTATTTATGTAATATTAAAATAATGTGTTTTTATGAAATTTAACTGGGTGTTCACTGCACAAATTAACTAATGGAGAAACCGCCCCTGATTACGATCTTTCAACTCGAAAAACTATTATATATTTTTGAACAATTGCGATCTTTATGCTCTCGAGTTATTACAATCCCTCAACTCTCGAGCAATTACTATATTTTTTAGTTCCAAGATTAAATGCGCATGAGTTTGAAACCTTTTCGTGGCCTAATATTTTATTATCGCCAATTTATATTATGTGTAATAATGTCAGTACTTATTGCCTTAAATATTAAATGTGATTTGTTTTATCATAAATTTTAATAAAAATCATATAAAAATTAGTTATTAATTAATAATTGAAATGTATCCTGCTTTATTATTTATGTATTATTAATTTTTAAATATTTTCTTTGTTTCATGAATAAAGTATTTATTTATTTATTTATTTGATTTAATATTTATTCTTTATATAAAATATTAAATTATTATAAAATATTTCACCTATACACGTACTTAAGCCCTTGAGCAATTTTAATAAACCCTAAACCCAATTATGACCTCAACTCTCGAGTAATTACGATCTCTCAACTCTCGGGTAATTATGACCTCAACTCTCGAGTAATTACGATCCCTCAACTCTCGAGTAATTACGATCTCTCAACTCTCAGGCAATTATGACCTCAACTCTCGGGTAATTACGATCTCTCAACTCTCGAGCAATTATGATCTCTACTCTCGAACAATTATTATTAAATATGGGTAGAACAAAAACACAAATATTTGAAAAATAACTATTCTTTAATAATAACTATATAAGATATATATACGACGAAAGCAGAAAAATGGATAAATATACATATTGAAAAAGAAACAGTACCTATCAGTCGATGTGTCAGTTTTGTAAACTATTTACCAATCTCAATAATTATGATGAGTAAATACGATCTCTCAACTCTCGAGCAATTATGATCTCAACTCTCGAGCAATTTTAATAAACCCTAAACTCTCGAGCAATTATGACCTCAACTCTCGAGTAATTACGATCTCTCAATTCTTGGGCAATTATGATCTCAACTCTCGAGCAATTTTAATAAACCCTAAATTCGAGCAATTATGATTTCAACTCTCGAGTAATTACGATCTCTCAACTCTCGAGCAATTTTAATAAACCCTAAACTCTCGAGCAATTATGACCTCAACTCTCGAGTAATTACGATCTCTCAATTCTTGGGCAATTATGACCTCAACTCTTGAGTAATTACGATCTCTCAACTCTCGAGCAATTATGATCTCAACTTTCGAGCAATTTTAATAAACCCTAAACTCTCGAGCAATTATGACCTCAACTCTCGAGTAATTACGATCTCTCAATTCTTGGGCAATTATGATCTCAACTCTCGAGCAATTTTAATAAACCCTAAATTCGAGCAATTATGATTTCAACTCTCGAGTAATTTCGATCTCTCAACTCTCGAGCAATTTTAATAAACCCTAAACTCTCGAGCAATTATGACCTCAACTCTCGAGTAATTACGATCTCTCAATTCTTGGGCAATTATGACCTCAACTCTTGAGTAATTACGATCTCTCAACTCTCGAGCAATTATGATCTCAACTCTCGAGCAATTTTAATAAACCCTAAACTCTCGAGCAATTATGATTTCAACTCTCGAGTAATTACGATCTCTCAACTCTCGAGCAATTATGATCTCAACTCTTGAGTAATTACGATCACTCGAGCAATTTTAATACTTCTAAACTCTTGTTAAGGCCTTTTTTTTAAATTTCAGATATATGTGACTGTCGTATTTCTTTAAAATCATTTAGATCAGCTGCTAATTTGGTGTATGCACAATAATTTGTTTCTTAACATTAAAAAATGTGAAGCTATATTTTATACTACCACAATTCTCAAATAACATATTTGACAGAACTGACAACTTCAAGTTACGGATATTGTTTGTAACATGAATAGCTGGTTAGTTTATCTACTTTGATATAATATGTATTGAGCTCAATTTATAGGGCGTGGATTAGGTTTTTAAATAACTCTAATAACTTGGGCACCACCATATTTAAAGCTTATATACTTAACTCTACATTAGTGATAAAAATATAAAAAATCACTAACTACTAACAAAATATACTTTAAGTATGCTTTAGATAAGGTAGGATTAGTAAAAATCAGGCATTTCTTCCTTCGCCCCAAACTCCAGAGGTACATCAATCCCTAAACATTATATACCGGTCAAGCAACTTCAACCAAATGATTCGGGATTCTTCTTCACAACTCTCATTCGTCACTCCTATTCGTGATTGAACCGTGAATGATCTTCAAGATAAATGATTCTTATTTGTATTAGAACCTGAACTGTCTAGAGATTGCCATAGGCTAAAAAAGGTTAAAATTTATGATAGATAAAGGAAATTTTGAAAAGGATTAGATAAAATGCTTTAACTATTAAATGAATAATTTCTCAGAGACTAAAATTAATATGAAAAGGAAAAATCTTATTTAATTAATATATTTAAATATAGTAAAACATAATATCTTTCTCCAAAAAATAATATATAATTTTTTATAGAAGCTAACATTGCAGATGTAGAGGTTAGGTTAGGTTTACAATTTGCTCGAGAAATCATTGAACAAAACGTACCTTATAAAATCGGACGGTCATTAACATAAATAAATATAAATTAATATTTCGGATGACCGAAATAAAATTAAAATAAAAGTGATCTATTCGTCTCGCTGTCTGTTAGATGAAATAAAAATGTCACTTCTGACACAAAGCATAAACAACAAATGACATTTGAGTAAGAGGTGATTGTGTCCAAAATAACGAAATAACGGTTCCAACCGTTGTTTAAAACCCTGTATTTATTTGTCCTATAATTGGATTAATTCTGTTATGAAATAAACTTTATTATTATAATGTAGAATTATAATTGTAATGTAATTCCAATTATAACGTTAAATTTTTGTTTCAGGTCCCATCGGTGGCGGAGATCCTAAAAGACCACGAACTTCCTCTGAAAAAACAGAAACTCAGCGAGTACCATAGCACGCTCACTCAATTGCCATACAACGTACAACACATCCAACAAATCTACGCCAGTCTGGACCCGGTTTACATCCACCAATGCCTCCAAGAGTTCTCCACACACAACAGGCACCTGTCTGCCTTCAAACCGGTAGTACAAAGCATCAAAGAGTCGAAAATAAGGCACGCCAATGCGATGGGGCGGTTCCCCACGGACCCGCCGGTACTGCAGAACCCGGAGCGGGTGGTACTGATGTCGGAGAGCGAACGATTCGAACGTACGTATCAACCGAACGTCGCTCTAGCACCTCCAACTCCCAAAAAGCATCGATACGGCAAAGGGAGTACCGAATACGCCAACGTGACTGTCAAGACGGAACAACTGTCGCCTGTCAAAGTGGAACCCGATACCCAGCCAACAGTAGAGGACAAAAAGCCAGTAGTAATAGTACCAGTAATACCAGTAGTTGAATCGACTGTTTCCGTCGTACGGAAACCCAAATACAATCCGGAAATAGAATTATCGACCGATACCGAAGATAGCGCCTCGGAAACGTCAGAAAAACACGATATTAATAAATTAGAAGATTGGTTAAAAGACGTAGATAGGAGCGTGAAAGACAAAGTGATGGATCTGTTGAAGAATTTAACAAAAGAGAATGAGCGGTTGACGAAGAACGCTCGAGTTACCGATGAGCGATTGAAAGAACTGGAATATCGGAACGTGGAGTTGCTGAAAGAGCTCAACGTACTCAAGCTCAAAAATTCTGAAAACAATCACGATCGCCTCGTCGAGAACGGGATCAGTAAAGAGTCATCGACATCGTTGACGTCGACGACCAACGGTTCTTCCATAATTACCTCCACCGATGGTATTAATAGTAGTAGCGATAAAAAAGCGAACGAATGTCTAAAAAAGAGTGTCATCATCGCCTCCGTTGTCGAGCAAAAGGAGGTGATCGTAAAGACAGCGCCCGAATGATCTGTAATCGTGTCCACTTTGGATTTTTCTAAATAGTTTCGTTTTAACGGACCGAGCAAAAATTTTGTCGTACTGATATTTATTGTTGGTTCTTTTACAAAAATAGAAAGAGGTTAGGGCTATGAGAGTCTCTCCTATTATTATCTATATTAGATAATACGCGAGAGTTTTCGACGCGAGAAACAGAAAAAAGGGCTGATTTTATGTAGCGGGGTTTCTTTAATAGTGTCTGAGGGTTGCTTATCGCGCGTATCCCTTAAATAGGGATGAGGATGTTGTTGGCCGTTCTCCATCCGCTGTTGCCCTGAAAAGCTCGGTAGTGGTCAAGGAAAACCAATTTTGTTTACTTTGAAAGTCAACAAATATCCTTTCATTTATTGATCCTTTTGTTCCTTAAATTCATTAAATTCCACAGCCTACCAGCGTGATGGATTCTAGTTTATTTTGCGCCAATTTTTGGGTATTCTCGTAGATTTTTTCCAATAGTTTTCTGATTACTACATGTTTCATTGAATATATCTCCATTCATCTGAGTGTACTTACTTGTTTTAAGGTGATTAGAGCACCCCTTATAATTTTCGGACAAGGATATATCAAAAAGGCAATAATATCTAGAATATGCATATATTTTCAAGTTTTAATTCCTTCCAGTGTCCAAGAAATCAAAGGGCTTTAAATTTTGAAATATAATGAAAATAAATGCATTTCTCAATAGCAGTATTCTTAATATAATCCTCAAATTTACGCTCTTAATGTCTTCTTAATGATTTTTTAAAATTCGCCAAAATTAGTGGCTAAAATGCCTCGTTAAGTGCTATTTTCTGGTATAAACTGGTGTAAATCGGTGCAAGAAACGAATGATGGCTGATAATGTATTATACGATACACCACGATACACCAGAAAGAAGCACTTATCGAGGCGTTTTAGTCACTAATTTCGGCGAATTTTAAAAAATCATTAACAAGAGATTAAGAGCTCAAATTTCGGAATTATATTGAAAAAACCGCTGTTGAGGAATGCATTTATTTTTAATATATTTCAAAATTTAAAGCTCTTTGATTTTTTTTCTCGGAAACTGAAAGGATATAAAACATTAAAATATATTCGTTTTTAGATAATATTACCTAATTTATTTTGCCAAAATTTAAATTTTTTAACAAAATTACTTTTTGAAATATCCTTATCCGAAAATTATAAGTGGTGCTGTATTCACCTTAACGATATCAGAATCATCATTCAGTTGATTAGGTTGCCATCTCATAATGGTCTAAAATACTAGTAATAAGTTGATATGAAATATGCATCTTTGAATAACAGTTAGCTCAAATAAATAAAATTAAAATTTATAACTTACTGATTTTAATTTCAAAGCTTGGGTTTATTCTTACTATAAATAAAGAAAAAAAGAGAATAAATTAAAAATAAAATTACCAAATTTTAAATAATTTTCTCATTCACCTCAGAAACTGTTTAGTTTTGATCACAATAATTTTAAAGTTAAAAAATTTAAATATTTATTAAATTATTTGCAATTATTTCTTCCTTCTTGAGACCTCCCTGTCTCTGGTCGTTGCCGAATTCTACTCAAATTTCTATTCTTTCTTTTATAATGTCCAAATTTATGTTATTACTTCGATTTTACCCAGTATACAAAATTTTTAAAAGAATCCGACTGACTTTACCATTTTTTTCTATTTTCTCTATTTAAACTCTCAAATATCTTCAACTTAACCATTTTTATGACATAATAAAAATTTTCATAGATATTCCAACTTTATCAAATACACATTTTCAAACCTCTGACAATTTTTAATACCCTCCTTCTGAGAGTCGATCGAATAAAAAATTATCATCTATCAAATCTGTCAAACTTAGATTGTTAGATTGTTTTGTCTTTTTGAAGTAACGTTATTAATTTTATCATATCAAAATCGCCAAATTTTGGATTCTACTAATTTATCCCCCAAAATTATTTCTTTCATTGTTTATAAAAAAATTTTGATAGTAAAAATAAAGTAAATAAACCCAAGCTTTAAAATGACAATAAGTAAATTACAAATTTCATTTTCTATTATAACGTTTATTTATTTAAATCATTTTATTTATAATTTATTTACATACACTAAACACTAATTTATTTATTTATACTTAAACACCTGACTGATTTATATTTCACACTTGTAATTTAATTTATATAACAAGTAGAATGTCTATCTTCAACTTCTATCTATAAATTTAACTTCTTTGACAACATGCAGCCTATTTATACAAAAATGCTGCGCACCGCACTATTCTCTAAGAATTCCATGTATTTCTCGTTCGTACTAATTGAATTCTGGAAAGGGGTTTTGGAGCATGACATGAATCGTTGAAAACTGCGCCCTTTAACACTATTATAAAATGTTATTTATCTGAGCTATCTGTTACATAGTATTATTTAAATAATGAATTCTATTTTGCACATTTCAAATCAATATATTTTTCATAGCTGCTCTCAAACATGTCATCCATGGTCTTCCTGTCTGTACTTCCTGTAAATTTTTATTCTTGCACACGCTTCTGCTGACTGTTATTGTTCTCTAGACATTTGTTTACCAGCTTGATTTCTCATCTCAGTATCATTACGTTTGCTACATTCCTTTTCTTTCAATCTCATTCACTCTGTTCAGATTCAATACTGACTTCAAATTGTTGTAAATTGTGACAGCATGATCATGTTTGACTAATTTATTGTCTAAAAATCGCTTTGTTAAACGTATTAAGAAAAAACGGTACAGTCACAACAAAAATCCAATTTTAATATCATGCTGCATCCTATTTAAAAAAAAAACAAACAATTTTAATATAATGCAGTTTTCGGTAAAACTATGGAAAATATAGGTTAGCAGTAAAATTAAATATTGAATAAATCCGTTTTAAACTTGTTATTATCATTTTTAAAACGTGGCAAAATGAGATTACACACGGATTGTTTTGATTGATAAATCGCGCGTTACCAAAATATATTTATATGCATCTAGAAACGGTTTTTGTAAAAAGTAGGCGAAAGAAAACGTTGGAATTTTTACAACTTTATGAAAAGGTTTTTTTTATATAGATTTATATATTCTACCGGTGAAGCGTACTTACTAGCATGGCTAGTATTAGAAATTTTGCAATATTGTCGTTATTTTTAAAAATAGCGTTGTTATAAAGTATTTGTATTAAAATTTGTCAATTTTCGGTAAATCAAACTCATTCTTTAAGAGTTGACAACTAAGCATTTGAAAAAAGACGAAACTAGTTTTTTTGGTGCACAATCAACTAAATGTACATATAAAAAGATTATTATTAAAAATAATACAATGAACTATTGATAGAGCCCAAATACGGCTCCTTGAGGGACCCTCCCTCTTAGCAGTACAAAATTCGTTACGTATATATTTAGTAATTTTGTAATCGATTGTGATATTTGAAAAACACCGTCGTAGCAAAAACCTCTGTCGTTTTGTAAAAGATTGTCATTTCGGGACTGATGTACATTTTTTGCTGTGTAATAATAGTATCTATCGTAGATTTTGCGGATATCTTTGTACATAATGTAAATTAAACAAAAAACCGAGACAAAGTCGTACTAGCAAGTAGTTCGTAGTTTTTATGATAATAAAAAGAAGATAGATTATATTTTAAACAATTCAGTAGTGATATCACACCAACTGGGTAACTGTCATGTGTCAACTGCCAAATGTTTTTTTTATTTCGTTCAACACCAACGAAGTTTCAAATCTTGACTGGCTTTTGTATCTTACATTCCACTGTCAAAACAATTCAATTATATTTGTCCGTAACTTTCGAGTATGACTGTTTAAATTTCAAGTGCAAATAACACTAATTGGCGACTGTCATACGTCAAGTGTCAATTGTCAAATGTCTAGTTGGTGTGGAATCGTGTACTGGTTTCGCTTATTGTACATAGCGCTTTTGTAAGAGAGATAATTCGGAGACTTCACAAAAAGTAGATGCGCAAAAGGGAAGAAATAGAAATAAATTTAATTGTGGCACAATTTGGTACTAGGATCTCTATAAAATTCTATTTCAAAAATAAGTAAGATCATTTTTAGTTAGTTGTGTTTGGTTTTCAAGACGAGGCGTTAAAACTTTTTGTGAGGTCTTGCAAATGTCTATTATGTATGTTTTTCGAGAGAAAACCTGAAAAAAAATAGTTGTTAGATTTTTTCTCCAAAATTGTTCTTGTTACGATTGTTTTAATTTATATTTAGGAATTGTTACTCGGTAATATTTTTTATGACTCGACAGTACAAAGCGGGGTGCAAAGCATCCGACATAGAAATACTATATTATTAAGCTAAGTTGTAATATACGGGAGCCGAGTGCAAAAGCGTCGAACGTGAGAGAGTGCTGATTGTATTTTCTTCACAATTAAATTTAAAAAGTAAGCAATTTGAGTATTGGTGTATATTGTTTAATTGATGTTTTCTGCAAGTTGATATAGTTTTATGTAAAGTACATTCAGAAATTAATAATACCGACCCGCTTTTAATGATTTAACTCTCGAGCAATTTTAATGATCAACAAACTCTCGAGCAATTTTAAAGATTCATTAACTCTTAAGAAATATAAAAAAAATAAAGGAGGTGATGTGTCTAAAATTAATTGTTCTGTCAAATTTGAGAGATACGTAACAAAAATTTAACATTAAAAAATCAACGGTTTGATGAATTATTTTGGAAAAACTTTTTCAAAATTATAAACATTTTGTCTATTTAAATTTTTAACCATCATTTAATTCGCGAACATTTTTTAACTACCCCTTAACTCTCGAGGAATTACTGATGTTCCTTTAGCTCTCGAGTAATTTTTTAATAAACAGCTCTCGAGCAATATTAAATATCTTTTAATATTTTACAATCAATGTTTATTATTTTTAAACAAAGAAGTAGAAGAGGAAATAGGATAAATTAATGGAAGATGTAGAAAATAGGAGTATTGTAAATTAGATGAAAGTAATATTGGTTAATTTGTTTTTTTTTAATATACATTAACTCTCGAGCAACAGAGAGGGAGGTTTATTTTTTGTTAAAATTTGGAATAAAATAAAAATTATTTTAGAAAAAAAAGTTAAACCTTTGCCTATTTCAGTATTTACCTCTTTAGCAATTTTTAACTACCTGTTAACTCACAAGGAATTACTAATTTTTAAACTCTCGAGGAATTACTAATGATCCTTTTGCTCTCGAGTAATTTTTAAATAAACAGCTCTCGAGCAATTTTATGAAGAACCATCATTAACTCTCGAGCAATTTTAATAATCAACAAACTCTCGAGCAATTTTAATGATCGATAAAATCTCGAGCAATATTAAATATCTTTAAATATTTGACAATCAATATTTTTATTTTTAAAATAAAGAAGTAGAAGAGGAAATAAATAAGATACAGTCATGGAAGATGTAGAAAATAGGAGTAGTATTGTAAATTAGATGAAAATAATATTGGTTAGTTTGTTTTTTAATATACATTAACTCTCGAGCATCAAAAGGGGGGTTTAAATTTTGTTAAAATTTGAAATAAAATAAAAATTATTTAAAAAAAAAGTTAAACCTTTGCCTATTTCAATATTTACCTCTCTAGCAATTTATAACTACCTGTTAACTCACAAGGAATTACTAATTTTTAAACTCTCGAGGAATTACTAATGATCCTTTTGCTCTCGAGTAATTTTTAAATAAACAGCTCTCGAGCAATTTTCTGAAGAACCATTAACTCTCGAACAATTTTAATAATCGACAAACTCTCGAGCAATTTTAATGATCGATAAAATCTCGAGCAGTATTAAATATCTTTAAATATTTCACAATCAATATATATATTTTAAAGAAGTAGAAGAGGAAATAAA